TCCCTCCCTCCCTCCCTCCCTCCCTTCTTCCTTCCTTCCTTCCTTCCCTCCCATTCCTTTTCAGAGGCAGAGTCTCACTCTGGTTCAGGCTGGCCCTGACCTCAGGGTCGTCCCCGCCCCTCCCTCAGCCTCCAAGTGCTGGGATCACAGGCAGCCACGGGACGCTGGGTCCCACAGATTGTTTCGGTTTCCTTCTAACTCTAGCCTGCGTCCTCAGGTGGTCTTTACTGAATCTGAGTTTCGACGTCTGAGACTTTTACCTCGGGCCCTGGAACGAGGCCTCTTGGCCGTGGGCCTTTCTTCTCGGGCCTTTCTTCTGTCCCTGCCCTTCTGCCCACAGGAAGAGGAAGATGTGAAGTCTACAGCAGTGTCATCAGGTTCAGAACATGGGTTTTAAGGAGTCCTTGAGGAGCAGCCTTGTTTCCCCTCCATGGCAGAGGGAGGGCACCCCTCATGGTGCTCTGCCACATGCTTCCTGTCCACAGCAAGGGGCCCACGTGGACTCTCACTTGGAGGCCGTGGGGACCTCAGTGGCTTTGGACCAGCAGAGGTGTGGCGGCGGGCGGGCAGGCTCTCTGGGCCTGGGCTGTAACTTCTGAAGTCCACAGAGGCGATGTGGGAGGGAGAGAGGTGCGAGCAGAGCCTTGGGTGGGGGGCGATGGGAAGATACGGTGCGTGTTAAAGCTGGTTACAGCACGAGAGGCTCTCTCCTTCAGCATCCCCTGCCTCGCCCCGGACACGCTCCTCCCGCCCTGCCTGCCCCCCTCTGGAGCAGCTCGGGACACCCCCTTTCACGAGTGTCTTTACCCGGTGCAAGCAGAACTCCTGCGAGCGCTGCTGCCGGCGGCCGCCCAAGCGCAGGGCAGCTCCCGACCGCTCCGCAGCGCCCTCACCCAGGCTTTCAGCGACCTGGCGCTGTGTGACTCTGGCTCTCACCCAACATCAGACTAAGCACGAAACGGAAATGCCCTGCTTCGGTTCAGGACCTAGCGGCAGCCACAACACCGCAAGTAGCGACGCTTGAGAAAGGAGGTCAGCGCTGCTTCAGGATGTGGTAAGGGCGGCGGGGCAGCGTGCGGGGGGAGGCGTCTTGAAGGGGGGCGGTAGTGCTGTGTCTTGCACTGTGGTGCTTTTTAAAAAATTAGATGCCCACTGTATTTTTCACACCTCCTATACACGCAATTTATACCGAATTTCTCCTGTCAGAATCAAAACTCCTCAGATTCCACAAAGTGGAAGAAAGAATTAGAAAAACAACCCCTCCTATCGTCTAATAATAAAAAACATCACTGTAGACCGGAGAAAGCAAAACATGAGCGTAATCTTTCTGCCATCCGGGAAGGCTCCGCGGGGCGGCGGGTGCGGGGGAGAACCGCTGTCCCTCCGGCCAGAACCCTCCTCCCAGCCTCCAGGAGGCCCCGGCTAGGTTGTAAATCCACGCTGCTTTAGACACTCCTCCAGCTGGGAGTACGCGAGCTTGAATGAGTCTCATCAAGTCACAAAAAGCAGGGAAACTCGCGAAGTTTCCCAGCCGCCGGCCACTTCCCCACTGGTACTCACGCTGGAGGAAAAGGTGTGTCCTCCACCGCGGCTGGGCACGGAGCGCAGCGGGAGGAAACCCTGCGGGCCTGGAAGGTATAAAGCCCTGCACCCGCCGGGCTCCACCGCAGGCGAAAGTCTGGCCTGGCAGCTGTCCCAACGGCAAGAAAGGGGCAAAGTCCAAGAATGCTGAGCTACAGGTAAGAGGTCAGGGTGCAGGGAGGAGAGGGAGGGAGAAAAGAAGGGAGAGAGAGGGAGAGGGAGAGAGAGAAGAGAGAGAAAAGGGAAGAGGAGAGGACAGAGAAGCAGCAGAGGAAAGACAGAAAAAGGGACAGAGAAAGAAAGAGATGGAAGGAGAAAGGAAGGGGGGGGCTCGGGGGGCTCAGGCACCCTGAGCAACTCCCCAGATTTCTGTGACCTTAGCTCTCTGGGGGTGACCTTTTCACTGATGACCTTTATCTGTGTCAAGGTGACCTTAAACATTCCTTGACTTCTCTGGGTCTCATTCTCCGTGAAAGAGGGGCAGGGTTAGGGGGGCCCCAAGGGCCTTCTTCAGGGACCCTGCTTATGGCAGGAACAGGGGGCCATGCATGTGGGGGCCCCAGCACAGCAGGTCCTTTCTCTTACGGGCAGCCACACAGCAGCATCTATGCTGGAGGCCAGAGTGGGCCGAGTGGGTCACGTGTGTGCCGGGAAGGCAGAGCACCCAGGCTCAAAGTCCCTCGCCTCTTCCTGGGGGTGGTGCTGTGCCATCTCCCCTCTGGGTGCCACAGTGTCCCCACCTGGGCATAAGCCCAGGTCACCCAAGCCTGGTGTAGAGTGGGCACCAATGTCATCTCCCCTTCCTGTCTGGGCCCCTCACTCCAGAAGCCCATTCTTTTTGGGGGTGCAGCCCCCCAAGGATTCCCCCAATGCTGCCCCCATCCTGGCAGGCTGGGATCTTGGTCAAAATCTTTCATCTTTGTTTCCTCTTGGGTAAACTGAAGCAGTGGCACCCCCCACAAGGCCTGGCACCCTCCCCTACTCTTCTGCCCCATCCCTGTCCCTCTTGGGGAGGGGCCCTTGTCTGTCCCCAGAGCCTTTTGTCGTCTCTCACTCCTCAGATCTTCTGCAGCCCTGTACCATGCTCTCTGCAGTTTCCTTTCCTTTCCTCTCTCAGCTCCTTGCTCTGAGGGGAGGGCACTGGGGCCTCCCTGCACCCCTGGGTACCACCCACTTCAAGACCCAGCTGTGGACCCCAAGCCAGGGACCTGGTTGCCTCAGAGCCCAGGTCGGAGCTGGCCTGGAGCTCGTGTGGTGGAGGTAGAGGTGGGCACCCCACTGTGGGGGGGCATCCCGAGGGTGCCTTCTCCAGTGGGTCCCCTCTCAGCCTGCCCAGAACCAGCCCAGGTCCAGAGAACCTAGCCTGTGCCCCCAGGGGCTCTGGGTAGCAGCTGTGGGTGGGCATCTGGCCCCTCTGATTTCTCAAGCCCGGGACCCATGTGAGAACCGCGTCCTTAACAGGTAGTGCGAGCCTGCGAAGATTGTTCGGGGCCAAGCCTCCTGGGCTCAGTGCTCCTGACCTTGCCGCGGTGGACCTGAGAACGTGCATTTCTTGCTTGTGTGGTTCATAGTGTGGTGCAGGACCTGTCCTAGAAGCAGCAAGGCTTTCGATTCAGGACAAGGTCTTCTCACCTGGGAGGAAAAAAGAAGTTGATATGCCTGCAACCTCAGCTCTCAGGAGGCTGAGGCAGGAAGATTGCCCTGAGTCCAAGGCCAGCCTAACTACATATAAGTCTCAGAAAACCAAACACGAAGGAAGTCACTGCAGGGCTTCAGGCGGCTGTCACATTCTCTAGACCCAGTGGCCCTTACAATGTTTGCGTAGTCGGAATCCCAAGACCTTGCCCACTGTGTCACGCATTGTAAAGCCCCAGCCCTTCCCGGAGTGGGGACTGCAAGCCTGCGGGAGGACTGTGCTGCCTTCTGGTCAGGCGAAGTAGTCTGGCCAGGGCGGGGTCCTAAGCTGAGGGAGTGGAAGAGGGGGGCTGGGTTCCAGTGTCTCACACTGCCTCGCGAGGTCCCTGCCAACTGCTCTTGGCCTTGAAGGGGCCACCCGCCCTGTTGTGGGAGGGTCTTGGAAACAGGGTGGCTCTGGGGCCTGAGTATTGTTCCCATAGACAGGGAACCATGGGTACCTTGGCCCTCCCACCCCACCATGTAAGCTTGGGCCTGGACTCTGGGTGTCGGAAAGGACTTAGTGTCCCGGCTGCCCCAGCTCAGAGTCAGTCCTGGCTCTGCCCCATGACACCTTGGAGAACCAGCCTGGATACCAGCCCCGGCCAGCTGGGCCAAGGTGCTGGGTGCATGGTCCTCAGTTCTGATGCAGCTGAGGCCTAGTCTTGCTTCTTGATCATGGCATGCACCCATCCATGTCACACTGCGGGGCTGGCCTGGAACAGCGTCAGCACTTAGCACAGGGCGAAGGCCTTGCTTGTTCTTTTCTTTTTGTTTTTGGAGACAGGGTCCTGCTGTGTAGTTCATATTGACCTTGACCTCATTGTAGAGTGCAGGCTGGGCTCGAACTCACAGCAACTCTCCTACCTTAGCCTCCTGCGTGCAGGGGTCACAGGCCACTCCTGGGCAGTCCCTCCTCTTTTCTTGCTCGTGCTACACTGTTGTCCCTCAGCTGGGTCCCACTGAGGTGGCCCCACAAACCGCCCCAGGGCCCAGGCCACTCTCAGAGCAGCACCTCCAAGGCCATGCCAGGGTGACACCATGTGGATGTGGGTGCGGGTCGTTCTCTGAAGGGGAAGCAATAGCAGGAGGGGAGCAATGTCTGTCCGCAGTGGGTTGGCACACGTGGGAGCTGCCCTGGGTCATCAGCACACAGTGTTCCCCGCGGCCACAGCTCAGCAAGGGCGGGCAGGAGAGGAGCTGCCTGGGGTCTTGACAGCGGGGCTTGGCACCGCAGCTTCCAGTCTCATGCCAGGCCTGGCTTCTGGGGTGCAGAGAAGTGAAACTGTGGGTCCCAAAGGAGAAAAGTACCAGCAGGTGGTAGATGTGAGCATCCTTGCTGAAAGGGACACCAGACAGATGGACACCCCTCCAGGATGTGTTCACGTGGGACAGATGGGTGCTGGCCAGGTGGACGCCCCTCCAGGTGTTCACATGGGACACATGGGCACCCCTCTAGGTGTTTATGTGGGACAGATGGACGCTGGCTAGATGGACGCCCCTCTAGGTGTTCATACAGAACAGATGGATGCCCTTCCAGGTGTTCACATGGGACAGATGGATGCTGGCCAGATGGATGCCCCTCTGGGTGTTCATAAGGGACAGATGGGCGCCCCTGTAGGTGTTCATGTGGGACAGGTGGACACTGGCCAGATGGATGCCCCTCCAGGAGGTGTTCACATGGGACAGATGGATGCCCCTCTAGGTGTTCATGTGGGGCAGGCAGACTTCTCCAGGGGTTCCCTGCAGGAGCCAGCTGTAGGCAGCTGGGAGCCAAGAGGAGATGCAGGGCCTGACTGTGGGAAGCAGCTTCCTCATGCACCAGTGCAGAGCCTAGGGTTCCTGGGGCAGCTTCCTCCCTATGTCTTAGAAGCCCCCGGAGTCTGGACATCTCTAGGCCACAGGGAGGGCTGCTGGTGGCAGAGGTTTTCCCACACCCAGTAGATGACCATCCTTTGGCTCCTTAGTGTTTCCTTTCCTTTGGTTGACTTCTGCCTGTCCTCACAGCTACTCTGGATGCAGGGTTCCAGTGGTGGTGGCTTCTGCTCTCAAGAACCCTGGGGGACCAGCCCATCTCCTGGGCATGGTTTCCAGAGAGTGGGACATCTTCCGAAGCAGGAGAAAGTCCCACCTGTTCTGACAGCTCGTCGTGCTTGGAAGGAAATATTTATAAACCAGATGCAGGCACATTTGCCCCCCAAACGCCCCTTCCTTGAGTCTTCTAGTAGGAATCTCCTTGCCTGCCACTGCCTGTCACCCCATGTCAGTGCTTAATCTGTGCCTCTTGGGTTTCCCAAGGCACTCAGCCCTCCTGCTGGGGGGTGTGCGAGACGGGGAAGCTGTGTCCCCCGCGAAGGGGGCGGTGTGACCTGGGGGCCTCACCTGGCCTGATTTCACTCACTCGGGAGCTGCTGTGGCCCAGCCCGTGGCTTCTGCATGGGGTCTCAGCATAGGCCCCTGTTTCCACAGAACGAGTACCCGGGAAGCTACGTGGCAGCCTGTTTTTCTGGCCCCATTCTTCAGAGTCCTCACAGTGTCACCCCGGCCACATTCTGTGGGTCATAGGCAGTGCCAGCCCACATTCCCTGGAGGTGAGCTAGCGTCAGGTCCTGTGGCCATCGGACCATTGCCGAGGGCTGTGTGGGGTGGGAGACGTGGCTGTGGCTGTCAGTGGGAACCGCAGTCTCCTGCTCTGGAGACCCAGCCCTGCTCAGACCTGCGGAGGGGCTGGCCTGACGTGAGTGTCGCGTGTGCCTGGGCTGGGACGCCGCGGGCTCTCCCCACTCCTCTGTCCCTGCTGCTTCTGCTCACATTGTATTTCAGATGGGCAAGTTTCTGGGAGGACTAATTATTTGACATCCGAGTTGTCTTACACTGAGGTCCTAAGAGGCTGAGAGCAACGCTTGGTTTAGGGGTGTACCTGGTGGCAGTGCATCCCCAGCCCCAGGCCTACGGGTGTGCACGGGGTGTTGGCTGTTCTCAGGCTTTGGAAAGGATCAGAGCATGCATGATGCATCCCATTATTCTAGGAGGGGCACTCTGAACAGAGCCAGGCAGAATGCAGACGGTGGATGAGCCCGGCTTCTCTCTCAGGTCTGCCTGTTGTGTGGCCTGACCAAGTCCTTCAGGGCCTGGTTCTGTCTCTGTCACGTGCTGCCGCAAGCCAGCATTGCCACTTGCTTCTTCTCTGCCGCACTATGCCGAGCTCATTGTGCACCATACGGTCACATCCTTCGGTGCCTGCCACGTCCTGTCCATTTCACAGTGAGGATGCCGAGCCTCGCACAGGCAGTGCCACCCACTGCTGCAGCCACCCGGCTGGAGGGATGCGGGGTCGGCACCGTGCCCTTATGCGCAGGCACTGCCTGCTCAGGGCCGTTGGAGGTGCAGACATCCTTCTCCCGCTGTGCATTCTGACCATGGGAGGAAGTTTAAAAGGAGGCCAAGTTGGGCTTCCTGATGTGGAAGTGTCAGATGGTGGAAA